TGGAGTCGACCCCTGCACGTGCAGCAGCACCCCCACTGTGGCACATGGATATGCATTGCCTATAGTGGGTGCCTACCTACATGCCAACTTTCAGCGCAATCGGTCCAGTAGTTACCGAGATATTGCAACTGTTACAAAAGTGACACCTCTTCGTTTGCACGTGGCACATGCATAAGGGGTCACCCAAATGCATCGGAAATAGTCCAATACTTGGTAGAAGGAATGATGCTACGCTACAAAAATTACCGCGTGTAAATCGGTCAAGTGGTTGCTGAGATATAAGCCTCGCAAAAGCGTCCGCATGGCCGGCCGGCCGCTCATACTCAGAAATTTCCGTTAATCTGAGGAAAGACTACGCTCGCTCCGTAACAAGTACATATGCAAGGCAATTACGAACTCGAATATTGACATCATATGCCCATGCCAAAATCACTTCACTTTTTTACTTTGCTCAATTTCTAACCATTTGGAGCCAGCGTGGCTTCATTTGACCCTTTTTTACCCCACTCTCCTGGCAGTCCGAACCCTGTATGGCTCTGCCCGGCTCGGCGTCGACTCCTATGTTCAGAAGAGGGAGAAGCTGGCCCTTCAAATGGCCAATTCCAAGGAGGAGTTCTACAGTCGTATGACAGGTTTTGCTGAGGGACGTGAAGCTCTGGTGACTGCTGGTGACCTCAACCAAATGCTGCACCTGGCCACTGCAGATGAACAAGACCAGAGCCTGCTGCAGCGCATGCTCACCAGGTGACTATGCTACCAGGATGTTTCTGACCATACCAGCACTGTACAGTGTACAATGTGGGTGCTCTGATTGGCATGAGGATGTGCAAATGCAATACCACTGCGATTATTCCTTCAACTGCCAGTACACATTTGCCACAGCACAATATATTTTTGTGATGTACTCACGTAAGGCTGGTATTAGAAATTATATGTCGTCAACATAGGTGAACTTTTGTCTGTTTATACTTATATGGAGTAGGTAACAGTATTTCTACCTTGCAGGTATCACAGTGAGTCATCCGGACTGCGGTTCAACAAGTTTGTGTTCGGTCCGGTGGTGATGCGGATGTACTGGCACCTGGGCCTGGCCGACAGGGCACTGCAGGTAAACACGGTCACAATCTCTCTGAGAAGACTGCATGTTGAACTGTGTGGTAGTAAATCACTGATGAGACATGTTTGTAAGACTTGTTTGAACTATTACTCCACTGGAGTAATCCTTCAACTTTGTCTACGTTTGGGCTGTCTGGTCGATTTGCATTCGGTAAATGTACTGATGGGTACAATATGATTCCAATTACCTATTGAGCAATAGATTAAAATCAAAACCAAGCATTATCATGGTTGACAAGGTGCTCTTTTGGACCAAAACTCACACCGTTCTCTCGTTTTTTTTGCAGGCCTTTAACGACCCAGCGCTGACGGGCTTTTTCGACCAGCTGTCGAGCTTTGTGCTGCTGCAGGACCTGCTGTACCGCCAGGGCCGCTACCAGGAGGTGCTGGACACAATGGAGCAGGTGATGCAGCGTCAGGTGCAGGGCGCGCGACACCCCATCGACTGCATCGTGCTCACCTTGGCGGCCTGCTATCAGATGGTGAGTTCACGGTGACGAGAGGGTGGGGGGGGGGGGGGGGGGAGGGGCGGATCCGGACCGTCTGCTGTAGTGTGGGGTGGATTCAACATTGAAGTTCAATGAATTTGCTGTGTTTGTTGCTGATAATGGATTGAGAGTGCGGTATATGAAGCATTACGGTTAATATCATCGGCAAACTCGCCACTCACCAGTGGGTAAGGCTCGTTTAGAAGGCTGTGACATTACCAATGAATCACCGAATCACTGTCTCTCCTGCCCACGATCCGTTAACCGCTGACCCGCCGTCTTCCACTCGTCACCACCGGCCGACTCTGCTCTCCCCTCGCCATCCCTCAGAACACTGGCTGACCGGCTGACTCTCTCCCCTCCCCACCCCTCAGGACCCTGGCTGACTCTGCTCTCCCCATCCCTCAGAACAGCGCGGCCTCGTACGAGTACTCCCGCTCGCTGCTGGCGCGGCTGCACGCTGTCGGTCACGTGGTGTCGCGGCGCGCTGTCTCGCTGGCTGCCGCGCTGGCACTGCGCCGCGGTGAGCCCCAGGAGGCGCTGGCCATGCTACAGCCGCGTACCGACACGGACCGCGCCATACCGCGAGACCTGCTGGTGGGTGGCCGCACTCGGCGGGGAGAGTTGATAGAGGGGAGGTGGGCGGGGCAGACGCCACTGGAGGCGGGAACTGAGGAGTCTCTGGGAACAGGGACTGGCTCATACACCGCTGAATTGGCGTTTTTTTTTTCTCTTGCTAGCTTCATTCTTCTGAAATACTAGTTTCATGCAGACACTCTAATGTGTTCAGGTTTTAACATGTACGTGAAATTCAGCGGACAAAAAGGTAGCTGTTTTGCACAATTTGAGATGAATGGCCGAGTCGGTTTGCCCGCAATATTGACGCGTGTACACGTGTTTGACACAGTCTAATATTTTGTCGGCCGTGCCCTCCGCTCGACGCATGTATCTCTGCCGCCCGTCCCTCTGACGCCTCCCGGCGTTCTGGCGTGCAGGCGATGTCTCTCGCGGAGCTGGGCCGACCGAGTCCAGCGGTGGACACACTACAGGGCCCTCTGCTGCTGGACCTGCCGCAGCACGTGCGGGAGGCCACCTCGGTCACTCAGGACGCGGTGAGGACGCGCTGCTGGGGACTAGATGGCGGCAGTGATCCCTAAAATATATGGCGTTCTGTCTGTTAGATCGAGGGAGTTCTACTTTCTAGAGTCTGGGTGGATCCGCATGCACATAAGATACGGAAAAGCAGTATAGGTGAAGTGAGACTGAAATGGCCTTTTAAGCCGTAAGGCATTTTGAAAGCAACATTGTTAGACGTTTTTGTTATGGGAGGTCAGCAGCTGCAGGCTTGATCACCGGCAATCCGTATCGTCATTATTAGCAACGCCAGCGCCATTAACGTTTTGCTTTGATTGCAACGCTTTGATTTGATCATGTGCGTTTCTGACTGATGGTTTTGTCGACCCGTTTCGTATTGATGAACGTGACATGCTTTCTGCTCTTGACAGATGGACAGCGTAGAGGCCGCGGTACAAAAGAAAAATGATGCCGAAATCACGTCCAAATGGAAGAAAGTCAAGCAGGGTTTGGAAAGCTACGGACTAGTCAAAGGCCTGGTGAGTGCGGTGATCACACATAAATTTTAGTCTACATTCATGGCCGATTTATTTCCAAGGTTGTGCAAGCGATGTAACTCGTGTCCTCATAAATGTCATTATCTAACTAGGTAACTAGTTTTTCTCGGTAGGTAAGGCAAAAGTCATCCAGCAATGTAAAATCTCCTTCTCTGGTTTCGTCACGTGATCTGATCTCCGGCGGTAGCTGTGATGCTCGTCACCCCCGATGCTTCGCTCTCGATCTTTCACCACTCGTATGCTGAGAACCCCCCCCCCGTCCGCTTTCAGTCGCTACAGGAGGTTCTTACAAAGGAGATCACCTACCGACGAAACACGGGCCAGAATCGGCGGCCCAACGAGCTGGGTGCCTCCTTCAACCGGGGCCGGCGGCCCGAGCGGCCGGCGCTGCGGCCGGGCCTGAAGGACATGGTGGACTGAGCGCCGGCGCCAGGTGCGGGCGGAGGGTCGCGCAGGTGGGGACGCCTGGTCGGGGAGGTGGGCTGGAGTGGGTGCTGCTCTGATGTCCGTGAGCTGGACCGTAGGAGGTTTGTAGATCCTGGCGTGGCTGTGGGTGAGACCCGGTCCCGGTGGATTCATCTCCTCCGGCTGTTACTCCAAGAGTCGCCACATCTGGCCTGGCTGAAATTGGCGTGAACAGATGTCACTGTGTTTGAGAGGTCTCCAGCCGGGTTCACCCCTCCGCCATCAAGCATCTGGTAGGATTAAGAATGCATGAGTTTGTACATTAGGTGAGAGTGTTTATAGTTTGTGATATCTGTGATGAACGACAATTAAATCATGTCATGCGATGCAAATGTTTACGCTGCCGAAATTTTGCTTTAAAGGTAGTGTGCCACCTTTGAAAGATTTCCCATTTTATTTTTCCTAGGATAAGAAGCTTCTGTTTTTACCTAATATCGCAAAAAAATCAAAAATGGGCCTGGAATAGTGCCTTTTTCGCCTAAAAGTTTTTCGGTTTTTAGATATGTATAACAACTGTAGTGGGCTCACCTGCAAACAGGCGTCGGGCAACAATCGCGAATGCGGCGCACTTGTGACAATAAGCAAAGGTCATTATAGTGTTACGACCATACGACGTACGGGAATGAGTTATCAGCTGTCTAATCGTAGACAACACAATGTCGAGCCTTAAACTGTAAGCCCGTATTGGTATTGTTTCTTTTATTTGGCTGTCGAACATTATTTATGGTTTCAAATATGATTTTATGTAAAATAATTGATATGAAAAAGCCATCTTATAAGTTATGACCCCATTTCACCACACGCAAGTGGCAGAAATGACAATGATCAGCTGACGCATTTTTCTTGGCCGAAGTCAGAGCGCGCGGCCCGACGCACCACGCGTATTTGGAAATTCCGACCTCGACGAGCATCAGAAGCCACCTAACAGGCGTGTTCGAAACCGCAGGAGATGATGATGAACGGGTTTATCGAAACTTGATTGGATGAGCATATCGGTAATAGCAATTTCAGTGTGTGCATTTATTGTTCATAGTGGTGTGAAATGTGGTTGGGGTACGACCGACAACCCGTCGGGGCGAATTTCGCACTGGGGTACTCAAAATTTGAAGAATTTAAGACGTTTCCATGAGTTTTGAAGGTATGGATAAGTTCTAAAAATCCGGTTCTCCTTATCTGGGCCATTAACTCCATACGGTCCAAGAAAGCTGGCACACTATCTTTAACAAATACGATATTACCACTAAATTTATCTATCCAGCCCTCCATAAATCATTCTCCATTCATGTATAGTCCATTCATGTATAGTCCATTTGAGTATATTGCCACCCCACAAATCAAGCAATATCAATTAGGGATGGGCAAGTGTCATGATGCGATACAAAGCAACACCAATAATTGCATTGTAGGACACTAAGCCAACGCCAACGCCAAAGAGCATTGCGAATATGACTAGTTAGCGGTTATGACGAATATGGTCTCCTTAGGGCACAAAGCATCCACACTAGGAGGTTCGAGGCGCCGTGAAGGCGAGGCACATCATCTCAAAGACCCAAGAATTGCGCCATGCGTCTCCACCATCCACCCTCTGTCCCCCACGATCCGTTGCCCTGCCTTCGTCCTCCACAGCTCCTTTTACTGGCCCCCCGTGCGGTTCACTCCCATGAGTGTATCTGCGGTGCTTCTCGATCCTTACCGTCCGGCAGCGTCTCAATTCGTTTCTAGTTTCGTGTTCCACCGCATTTGTTGCTGACGTTTCTTACGTATTTTTCCTTTCTGTCCTTTCTTCTCTTTTCCTTTCCTTCTTCCCGCGTTCTCCCCTCCTCACGCTTGTTTTTGCTGCTGCTTCTGCTTCTGCTGCTGCTTCTGCTTCTGCTGCTCCTGCTGTTTCTGTTGCTCCTGCTGTTTCTGTTGCTGCTCCTGTTTCTGTTGCTGCTGCTGTTCTGTCTGTTTCTGCTGTTCCCTGTCGCGCTCTTCCCGCTGCAAGATGGCCGACACCGTCACAAACACGTGCTCCACGAGCAGCTGGGGCTTCTCCATGGCCAGGAAATGGCCTCCCTCGGGCAGCTCCCGCGCCGATACAATATCCGGGAACTTGTTACCGAGCATGTTCGGCGAGAACAGGTACGGCTCCTTGTCCGCGAACAGCAGGCCGACGGGCACCCGGCACGGGATGTCGTGCAGCCGCAGCTCGGCCACGCGCCGGCCCATCGACTCGGCGTACAGACGCATCGAGCTCGTGATCGAGTTGCTGACCCAGTAGATCATCACGTTGTCGAGCAGGTCGTCTATGTCGTACGGTCCCGGCAGACCGCCGTCCGGCCGCGCCACGTTCTCCATATCCGTCCAGCTGGAGAACTTCTCCAGGATGTAGGCGGCCAGGCCGGCCGGAGAGTCGCCCAGCGCCACACCCACCGTGTCCGGCTTGGTGGCCTGCAGGTGCGCGTAGCCGGTCTCGCGGGCCAGCTGCGACGCAAACGCGCCCACCGGGTAGTAGCGCTTCTGGAAGAACTCTGATCCGAGGACGCTGGGGAAGAGTTTGCCGACGGCGAGCAGAAGCCACATCCGCGGCGAGGTGGAACTTGGAGTCACCATGTTCATGTGCGCGCCTGGGGATGGTGGGGTATTATTACACGAGGCTTACAGAGGTAGCTGGCGTTCGCAGGGAACTGCATGAACAATCTTGAATGGTGGTCGGAGCTTTCTCCTCTTTGGACTTTGCGACTTTCCAAAACACAAATCATGATCTGAAGCGTTATTCAAGGCTTGATTCTTAAGCTGATCTGACGATTCTCTGTTGCGAGTTCACCTCACCCACCCGTCCCGGGTAGTCGTAATATAACGCTGTCCAGTCCTACCCGTCCGTTCAGCTGTGTTATAATCTCATTCAGCCCTCCCCGCGCTGCGGTTTCACCCACCTCGGACGTTGTCCGGATACATGGTGCCCATCAGGTTGGTGATCATTGAGCCCCAGTCACCGCCCTGCACGAAGAACTTCTCGAAGCCGAGTCGCAGCATCAGCTTCCTCATGATGGCGGCCACCTCTGGTGTGCCGAGCCCCGGCTTGGCCGCAGCGGAGGAGAATCCATAGCCGGGCAATGAGGGGCAAATGAGCTCAAACACCACCCGGTGTCCGGGCCGGGGCCGGCTCAGAAGCTGCAGCGCGCGTCGAAACTCGACAAACGAACCGGGCCAGCCGTGCAGCAGGAGCAGCGGGACCACCTGGTGCTGATCGGACGGTACCTGAGGACAGGGGAGCACAATGACAGCAGAGGTACCGCCTGGTGCTGGTTGGACGGTACCTGGGGGACGGGGCTGCAATCAGCACTCACAGCAGACGTACCACCTGGTATTGTATCGAGAGTACATGAACCTCCAGGCTCCACGAATCAAACTATTAAAACAGTTACATTTGGTGCTGGTGGTCGGGTAGAAGGTACTCTTACCTGGGTGACGGTTGCGATATTTTGACACCGACAAGTGATACTATTTGCGGTGTGGAGGCACCGGAATGGCACGCTTTCAGAGCGACTCTGGCGATTCTGGCTCTCACCGTGAACCAGCTGAACGAACCACTGAGCGACTCTGCCGCCTCCCGTGTCCTCCGCCCTCTGCCGCCCGCCACCCCTCTGCTGCCTCCCGCCCCCTCCCCCTCTGCCGTCCGCCGCCTACCTCGGGCCGCACGTGCACAAAGTGGATGTCCAGGCCGTCGATGTTGGTCCGGAAGTGGGGCAGCTCGTTGAGCGCGCGGAGCCGCTTCTGCCAGTCGTACTTTGTGCTCCAGTGGTCCAGCACCTTCTTCAGCTGCTCCGAGTTGAAGCCGTAGGTGAAGTTGGATCCCTCCAGAGGCGGCGCCAGCCGGCTCTCGGCACGAGCCAGGCGCGACTGCCGAACAACGGGGGCGGGGTATGTTGTGTCACGGCAATGTATTCCCTATTAAAAACATCATGAGCGATTTTACAAGACTATGTGCTCCAAGCGAAATACTGCATTTGCATGCATCCAAGCATACTATCTGATACTCTCTGAGTTTGTTTATCTATGTAAACTCTTTATAAACCGCGTGACCCTCACTTGGTCATCTCATCTAAGATGCTTGGCGCTTAGTATCGGCCTTGCCTTATTCCCTGCCCTCCCACCGCCCAATCTCCCCCTCGTCCTATCCTCCTTCTAACCCCTCTGTGACAGAGGTTCTGTCCTCCCCTGTCTTCCCACTAACCCCTCTGTCCTCCCCTGTCTTCCCACTAACCCCTCTGTCCTCCCCTGTCTTCCCACTAACCCCTCTGTCCTCCCCTGTCTTCCCACTAACCCCTCTGTCCTCCCCTCTCCTCGGCACTGACTAGAGATGTCAATCGGATACTAACTTTTTGGTATACCGATACCAAACCGATATCAACTTGGTATTTGGTATTTCAATCCTAATTGTTTGGTATTTTGTTGGTATTATGAACCCTTACTAATGTATAACAGGCTAAGAAATTGGTAAAAAGTTGGTATTTGCCTCATCTTTCAAAGTTGGTTCGGTTTCGGTATTTCCCCACGGTTTTGGTTGGTATTTGGTTTGGTATCGGTATTCCGATTTTCCAGGCATCGGTAGGATTGTGATTGCAGGATTGCAAAATCCTGATTGCATTCCCTTTTGGTGGATTGCACCTGGATTTGAAATCCATTCCAAAAAACAGGATTTGATTGCGGATTGGATTGCATCATACTTCTACCTTTTGCAATCCAATCCGGATTGTGTTTGATTAGTGCTCTAAAATGGTTTGTTGCGATGGAAAATTATGAAATCGGCTTCATCGGCTTAACGTACTTTGCCATCAATGGCTTTACATCGAAACTTGAAATAATTTAAACGCTTTTAATTTAAACGCTTAAAATAATATACGCTGATGAACTACATAGAAAGGGCAAAATTACGTATTTGAGGGCGAGTTTTAAAAATATAAAACACTGGTTGGGTAGAGCTTTAAATGTTGGGGTGTTTGAGGCAAAAAATATTTCCCATAAAATACTTGTGCCTTAGATAGAAATTACTCGCAAGACTAGGTACTAGAAATGGATGATTTGGGGATGGAGGCACGGCCCTATGCCCCCCTCCCTCCCCCAAATCCACTAGTGCACATAATAATACAACAGGATTGCAAAAAAGGATTGCGGATTTGATCACAATCCAAGTGAAAAAAGGGGATTGCGGGTAGGAATGCAATCCACTTCGGCACTAGGAATGTGGATTGGGAATGCGATCCTTTTAAAAAGGATTTTACCGATGCCTGCGATTTTCTGTAATTGACATCACTAGCACTGACCCTGATGTCATCCATGGTGCCGGCCGGCGCCCAGATCTTGTACCGCTGCACGCTGGTGTCGGGCCGGGCGGGCGACTCGCCGGCCGACCACCATTTGTCTGGTAGCTCCGGTACGGCCGGCTCAGCCGTCAGCAGCGGGTACATGTAGGCGGTCACCATGGCGAGCAGTAGCAGCGCGATGGCCACCAGGCTCACGCCGCGGGCTGATGGCGGGGACGGGGCGGCGGCGCCGCTGCCGCCGCCCTCCTGGCGAGCTGACTTGCTGGTGCGAGGCATTGGCGATAGACTGAGGGAAGAAGGTGGATATCGGTACAGGTGGACGGACACTGTCCACCTGGACAGTTGCTCTTAATAATCCTAATGCATCGTGGCTTCAAGTCAGCGTTATTTTTGGCTACGATATCGCGAGGGCTGAGGCCGTGAAATAATGCCAGCTCACCCCTACTTGTAAAACCATGTGCAGACAGCGGAGACGAGCCGCGGTCTAGTAGGTAACGTAGGTGCGGTCTCTTAGCACCGGAGTCTAATGTAGAGATTGCACCGGACATAGTCCAAGGGTTGTCGGTCCGCCACACCTCTGGGCTCTGGCCTTCGGGCCAGACTCGGTTGATAAGTCCTATCAGGGCTGTTGAAATAAGCAACCTGAGCTGCTCTGTAGGCCTTAAAACTACACTTGTGCTGAGTCGGCGATGTAGGATACTTATGCATTAAGATTATTAGAACAATACCTTAGTAATGCAGTGCACAATGTTACCGGAGCCCGCTTGATGAGCTATTCGATCACGACACATGCCAGCGACAGGTCAACTCGTCTACTCATCGTGACTCTGGATCATGAGTGCCCACTTCCATAAATAAATCAAATGCAAGGCCATGCTCGCTCACAATTGTGACAACCAGTCGTTCGAGCGCGACCTTTGAATAACACGCTTTCCAACATGTTGTGAAAAGTTCGCCAATGCTTCACACACTGCCTCACAAACACTTTTACTTCTTACCTGAGCCCAAACCTCTGCTGCCGACTTTCTCAGCCTCGCCTCTCGACGCTCCCCGTAGAGCGCCGCTGCCACGAGTGGCTGGGCTCTGGTATTAACTGGATAATTCGCCAGCTGACGCCGTATGGTGGCGCTAGTGGAGCAGCACCATATGACGTCAGCAGAAAACACCGTGAGCAGCTATGAAATGGGAGCGAGCACCACGGAAATATCGAAAGGTGATGGACATGTACTGACTTTGGTCATTCAAGTACCACGAACACCATACAAAAACCATATAATATCATCAAGACTGATTCTGGAATCGATCTGTTCGGGTATTTAAAACACACAAAAAAAATGTTTGTTACCGAATTCTGAAACAGTATAAGGATATTCTTGTTCCTTACTTTTACCTTGTGGAGTACTTTTACTTGCTTTCTAGTGCGCCCATCACTATCTTGAAATCTGGATTGCAACGCTGTAGGAAAACTTTTTTTAATTTGTCATTTCTTCCACTTTTGAGCAGTGATAATTTATTTGGTTTTATACATTAAATAATGAAGACGGCTCCTAACTTTTTAGGGATCTGCAGTGGCCCAGAGAGCAAAATCAGATATTTTCTAGAAACTTGAGGCCACTATTTTCTTATATGCTAGATAATATACAAATATTGACATGTAAAGAATGATACGGGTGTATAATTCTGCAGAAATATAAATTCAAAGTATTTGAATTTTTCCAGAACCTTTTTAAAATCTTCCATAATAACTTCTTTCAATACAAGGTGGAAGCAATTTCAATCAATAAAGAAGCACAAGGCAGTACATTGAGCTACGATGATCCATAACCAATCGGCACCTGCAATTTGATTGATCTTCGAGATGTACCCTGCCTCCGTTCCCTGACTTTCCCTTTTCGTTGTACCGGGTGAAGTGAATATTCTGTGAATATTCTTCTGACAGTCAGTTTTTAGTCCTACATTATGTTGTCAATCAGATTTAATTGGTTCAAAAACCGTCGTAGTCCGTCTCATTCGCAGTCTTCATCTCCACATGCGCACCCATACATGCTCAAAATTTTCACTACGTATGTACTATGTACCCTGCAGCGTATCCTGATGAAAAATGTTTTGTTGAAATCAGAGACACTTCCCAAGGTAGGCCATAGTCCATGGCCATATATTTAAGTCAAAACAGATGAAACAGATAAACACAATTCCAATCATCAAGTCAACCAGCATCGACAATCTGCACATAAGTTCTAAACCTATTGTAAGACTACTTTGTATTCAAACTTTGTATTGCAGAAGGGTGGAAGCTGCATGGAATTATGCGACAATTTCAGCGTGCATCCACGCTCGAAAGAGCAGGGTTAATTGTAACAATGTCAATACCATAACAATAAGGTAATTGTAGGTGTTGTGATTCGGTTGTCTCTTGTCTGTGCTGGCCATTGCGCGGGCGGTCCAGCGGCGGAACTCGGCTTCGCCGCCATGGCGCGCTGGCAGTTGCTTCTTCTTCTTCTTCTGCATCCCATCGCCAACCCGCTCAGGGGGGCGGCGGCGCAGGCGGGTCGAGCGGCGGCTCGGTCCGCCCAACATCCTCGATGAAGGTGACGACCTTCGTCGCCGGGCCGCCGAGGACGTCGACCAGGCGAGGGTCGACACCCCAGCGGCGGCGGCGGGCCGCCTCATAGGCCGGACAATCGGTCAGTAGGTGCGCCGCGCTGTCGGGCTCCCCGCACGCGGGGCATTCGTCGTCGGCTTCCGGGCCAATCTTGTGGAGCGTGTCACGGGTCAGCGGTGATGTGCCGGTCCTCAGCTGGGACAGCGTCACCGACCCCAGCGCGCCAGGGAGTCGTGGCCAGGCGTGGGGTCCGGGTGCGGGTGGGCAGCGGTTGCCCTCTGTCGCGACAGCTCCCGGACATGGCGCGTGACGGCGGCCCGCGCACTCGACAGGTCGATCGGTGCGCTGTCTTGGTCGCCCGCCGTGGCCTCGCCAGCCAGGCGGTCGGCGGTTTCGTTGCCGTCCAGCCCGGCATAGCCTGGCACCCACTGGAGCACCGTCTCGGTGCCGTTCTCGGCGAGGGTGCTCAGCACTCAGCAGCCTCCACACCTCGGCGGCCAGGGCCATGGTCTGGTTAGCTGGGCCGCGGCCGAGTAGTTGGAGCCCAGACCTTGAGTCGGTGAGGAGGCGGACCGACTTGGTCGATGCCAACTCCCCGTCCTCCAGGCCGGCCACAGCCGCGAACGCCTCGCGCATGGCGGTCAGTTCTGCTCTTAGGCTGGAGCAGACCGCCCCTGCAGGAGCGCGCACGGTCTCTTCTCTGTTGAGGTGGTGGAACTGGATCAGTGCCTGCGCCGCCCTGTTCCGTCCGCCGCGAGCCGAGCCGTCCGACCAGATAGTGACGTCCGGGTGCGGGAGCTCTGCAATGGCTCGCAGGGCAGCTTCCCTGCGGACTGCAGGCGGGTCCGACCGGCGGGTGGCCACAGGCAGGTCCACCCTGAAGGTGATGCCGCCGCGGTGGCCCAGCCATGGCGGGTTGCAGCTGTAGAACGCCGAACCTGTAACACAATAGAATTGCAATTGTAACAAAGACCTGCATGGTCAGCACACATCTGCAGTGACTGTCATCCTAAGTTGGTATGAATTGGCACAAAGTTGGGTCATGGTAGCAGACGTAGCACAAGCTGTTGTGATATGCCATACCGTAGGACTAGGTCGTAGGTTGTAAATTTTAGGTTTAAGGCTGTAGGTTGTAGGTCAGGTTAGGTAAGGTTTGGTTAGAAAGACCCATTCTCGTGCATCGGGCAGCTTGTGCTACATCTACCTTACCAATACCCAATTTCAGTAGGCGGAACTATGGTCAAGCGTATCCATTTTCGGGAACGCATTTTCGTTCCCATGTTTGGGAACGATAAACCCAAATATGGGAACGCCATGTAGGCATTATTTAAAACAAGAAAAAGAACCGTTAAATGACGTCCAAAGAATATAAAACGATCGTGAACCGACTGACATTTGTCTCAATATTGTTGGGAAAGAGTTTGATATTGTAAGGCCCATCGTAGTTTCAAATCGTTCCCGTATTTCTAAAGCAGTCCATCATCCGGGCCGCGAGCCCAAATTTGGGAACGCTCTCGTACACTGGCGCTGCAAGCGTTCCTTATTATGGGAACGGCGTACCCAAAATTGGGAACGATTTCACCGAAGCCTTTCAGGGGCTCTTTTCATTAACAAGCATCACGTCCAACGCCGCAAATTATTGTTAACGCAACAATCATCAGATGACCTTTCCGGCAAGACCGTCGCATGTTTCGCCCGGTCTTCTGCGCTTTTATTCCCGTCGATCTCGCAGCGGGCACGCCCCCCCCCCTCTGCAGGATTACGCAATTCACAACGCTCAGCGATGTTCAACAAGGTCTTCCCATTCCATACCTATATCCACCGTTCGCGCCGAGGGTGGAGACATGTCAAGCACCTGTCTGTTTATCACCGATAGTTGACGAGCACAAGAAAGTATCCAAAAATGGGAACGCTGAATATGTTACACCCCTCATAACACCTAGTCCCAATGAAAATCTAGTTTTTTTCCTTTCTTAATGAGTGTAAGTGGCAAAAGGCCTGGTAGGATGGGCACGAGGAATGATCGAAATCAGCATAAAAATTATAAATTAGCCACACAGAGCGACCTATATAAGAGAAATTCCCCCAAAACGATCACGCTTAGAAACACGGAAGACAAAAACCACGCTCATGACTCTGCTTATAAAACAACGCTAAACAGCTAGCATCCAAATAAAATATGTCTTTCCGGGCTGATAAAACACAGCTGAATAATTTTAAACCACTGAAACTGAGTTTACAACAGTAGTTCGGTAAAATCACTGATGTTCCACGCGGTCGTGCGCCCCGACACCAAAAGTCAACAATATTACCTCGGGACTGTCCGCGTGTTCGCTTGCATATGTCAGCATCTGGTGTCGCTAGTATGAAACTTCATAACCAGGCGAAAATTATTATACTTGACCTCAAACTGTAAAAAAACGCTTCATTTTCCTTAAAATTGCATGTTAAATGTAGTATAACCCATGTTTTCACCATTCCGTCATTTCAAAAAATCATTAAAAATATCATTCGACGGTCAATTTCCTTGTTCAACGGTCAGATTAAAGATAATTTTATAGAGACTTAGTAGATACTTGAATTAGCGTGCACTTTTTTGAGATGTGATGCACTAATGAGTTTTAGTGGGTGAACGGCCGAAAAATTACCTTCCGTTCTCATAAATGGGAACGCCCGTTCCCATA